GAAACATTTGTTTCAATCACATCAGGTATTTCGATCACGGCGGTGGATAACGCGATAGCGAAGATGTCGATCCGAGGGTAGTGATGGGTGCGGAGGACCTTTGAGACAGGCCTGTCCGCTTCACTGGAGCTCGTGTCTCGTTAAGCTGTCATCCCGTCCACCAACCAGGGTAAGCTTTTTATCGAGGCTTGGATAAGATGTCGCGATACCGTTTTTATGTGAAAGTATTTCTGACCGGAATTTTGACGTGATTTAAAACAATGAGATATTTGAAATGAAATTGTCTGCATCACGCACTAGAAATCATTTACCTGCATAGCAAAGCAGCGATTCAAGCACGCGGTGACATTGATGACATTTAGAAAAGTGTGTCACACCCAAGTCGACCCACATTCTGTCAGTGACACGTGACATGTTGGCCCCTGCGGTAACCTTTGAACGCCGGCTGACGTTTCGTTCGGGTGGCGTCCGTTCCGTCCGGTCGCCCCGGGCGGACCGGTCAGATCAACCTCAGGTCAACCGACCCGCGTTTCGGCTGTTTTCCGGAGGCCTCTGGCAGGTCTGGCCGTCTAGCTGAACCGAGGGACCGTTTACGTTATGCAACCCCGAACTATTGCGGTTCAGTGCAGTATTTTGCTAGTCCTGTTTGCGCCTGTCTTCATATGTCCCGCTGAGTTATATCGACAAGAACAAGGACGTGAGCTGTGTCTTCTCATCGTCCCATCCTATCGTCCCCTGGTTGTGCCTCTGGTCAGGCATGCCTCTGAACCCCCCAGACACAGGCAAACGGTGTTAGCCGTCCGCCGCCACCACCGCGGCTGGGTGCGCCTGTGATCAGCTGTTCCTCCGAACCCCGCAGACACGGTGTTGTCTCACATCGGTGTCAGCTGTTCGCCGCCTCCGCTGCGGTGCCTGGGCGCGCCGCTGATCAGCTGTGGCGCCGAGTGCTGTTGACACGGACACGCGTATCACCTGTTTTCCGATGACTCGGCCCGGCCGCTGAACTGTGAACCGTCGTTTTTTGTGGGCCTCGCTGGTGCGTCATTAGGTTAGGCGCTGCGATTATGGAGGCACGCGGCGGACGTGTGTTTGGCCGCGGCCGGCCTAACGTAAACCATGCGGATATGCCCCGCCAGCTGTGAACGTGTCCCGCCAGCTGGGATAGCTCCGACCGTTCCGTGCGTACGTGGTGCCTCTGTGTTGGGTAAGGGGCGAAGGGAGGAGCACTGACCCCCCCCCCCACTTCTCATGAAGTGTAGAATTGACCCTGTGGTTACGCGTGGCAGGAACTGACCTCAAATGAGAAGTTCTTCCCCCTCTTATTTTGTTCCCTTTGACGCATGCGGTGTCAGAAATGCATCCTTAGCTTTGGCTTCTCGTTGTCTCGCTGAAACAGCGAAATAGTAATGCGTTGCGTTCTCTCCTCCCCGCAGCTCCCTCCTGTCCTCGGCATTTCGCGATCCGTTGCGATCGTTGTGCTAAAACCAGGGTCGCTGCCGTACTCGGTGAACCTAGTTTCGCAGAGTAGATCCGTCTTTTTACGGTTCAGCTGTCCGTGCTTATCGGAGAGGTTGGTTTTATTTCCCTCACCTTTGACCTAGTCGTAGCCGTGTGCCGACTTACCCACCAGAAGGCGCCCAGTCTCGCTTGACACGCCCTCACGAATCTCGTTACGACCGACCTGCCGAGGAGTCCTGTCGCGCTGTCGGTCCACAGCTGACCCCAGCTGTCCCCGCTCGGGCCCGCCCTCCGTGGGCACGCCAGCACCGCGCGGCGTGCTCCGTAGCGCCCCGCTCCGCCAAGCAACGACCCGGCCCGACCCACCCGGCCAAGCAACGGCCCCGATCCCGCCCGGCCAAGCAGCGCCGCCCGGCCCGCCGCCGGTCCTTCCCCGGCGCCGGACCGGGCGGCGTCCGTGTCGCTGATGATTTAGCCGCCTCGGCAGACATCTGTAGGCCGCATATGGGGCGGGCTCGGGGCCGGTGGCCGAGCGCTGCCCGCTGGACGTCCGCAGATGGCCAGAGTCGCTCGGCTGGCTGGCCGCCGGCGGCGGCCCGGCCCAGCGGAGAACGACGCTCTCGGAGATGACGCTGGGGACCGACAGCTGTCTCCGTGGTAGGCTGCCGCTGTTGACCGCTGTCTCCGGTGGTCACTTTTGGGTGGTCTGCCCTCTGCCATGGGCGGAACTTTACTTCTGATTGTGGTGCAGCTTTATCTCCAGCGTTCAAGAAAGCTTCTGGTAAAAGGCTCAGCTGTACATGAAAGGCTCGGCTGTACATGGAAAGATCACGGCGCAAATCCCGTCCGATTGTTTCTGTTCGATTCCGGTTTTCTTCGGCCGGCTGTTCTCTGTCCGTTTTCTCCAGTCTTTATCATCTCTGCCCGGCTCTCGCCATTGCGGTTGTCTCGGCCTGTTGTTTCGTAAATGGTCATCATTTGAGCGAATGACATGCCGACACAGTTCGTTTATCTCATCACTGGCGCCAACAGGACGGTGGATGTGCACGCACGCCCCATCTCATATGGATGTGGAAAATGGCGGAGGGACTGTGAAAAATCGGCAAAGCGAACGAATCTTGACTGAACGGAAATTGATGTACGATCTGGTGACGAACTGTTCTTCGTTTCATGTAAGGGAACTCTTGCCTATATTGCTGTTTTGAGACACCACTTCGCTGGAAAAGTATGCGGTCACCTCGCGTGACCCACCGCCAGCAGAGGACGGCGGCATGAAAGCCACGCTGGACGCTGTCGGGACCTTCTTTGAACTCCGCTGACCGCACCCGTTAACTGACGGAGCGTGCTAAACACGGTCGCCCGGCAACCGGCACCACGCGGGGCGGGGTGCACGCCCCTGCAACATTGCAACGCTGCATCGCATAAGCTCGGGTGAGGGAGGATATCAACCGGGTGCTCACGGGGCGCGAGTTCTCGATGCTCTGGGCCGATGACGGCATTTTGTACCTGATGACACGTCCGAGAACCGAGCGGTGTGTGCGGATTTGAAGCCTCGCGGCCGACTGCAACTATGCCGACGCTAACCGAAAGTGATGGATGATTGGACTGACATGGCGCGGCTTGACACTAAGCAGACGCTCTGGTGACGCATGCGCCGTCTGATCGACCGTCTGCCGAGCGTCGCCGCTCTTTGTTGCGGTGAGGCTGTCGAGTCCATGTCATTTTGACCTTCACGTCGTCACCATCCCAATCAACAATCCACAGTCTGTCAGATCCCGGCAGGCGGCTGCCAGCGCCGGCAGCGGCCCGCGTTTTGAGCACGGATCGGGTGTGCGGAGCCGTGGTCACGTGTACGCCGATGCTGTGCGCCTCTCGCTGCCGCCCAGCTACTGTGCCGGCGTCGTCGGCATCTCACGCGTGTGTGATGGGCCTCTATCGCAGTCACCGCCTGGGGCTCATCCGTGTGGCATTATCCGAGCCACATAGGACGTTCGCGTGGCACGGATGGGGCCCTTGTCGCGCAGACATCGTCCGTGTCTTGCAGACATGGTTCGCGCCATGCAGAAAAGGTCCGTGTCGTCGCGCCCTCCATGTTCTTGCGGTGTGGGCAGAGTGGCTGGGTGACCACTGTTGACCCAGAGCGGCTAAGTGCTTTACATGGACACTGCATGACCTCGAAGTCGCGTTCTGACACCCCAACATCAGCACCTGATGTTTTGCGCCGATGTTTTATCTTCGCCCTGATGTAACGCACAAATACACACGCACGCCTGGACAAATTATGGCCTGGTGATTTGCGACTTTCAGGGCGCACCGACCGCACGCCTGTGCGTTGTGTGATGTGCGGTATGACAGCGTGACCTCGTGTGTAATGATTGTGCGCGCCGCGCCAAAGGCCTGGGTCAGAATGATAATGACCGTGCGTAGCATGTCAGCGGAGAGGTCATGGCCAGAGTAATAATGATAATGCACTGCACGGCGTTGGAGCAGACTGAGTCGAATGAGACCTGGTTGACTCGTCAGTCGCATGCGGAGAGCTCGTGTCAGCGACAGTCCCCTTTTGATCATCGCGAGGCGGCCTTACCACGCGAGCCGGCGCGGTTTCAGCCCTCCCCGCCATCTGTGTGCTATCACCAGCGTTTGACTAGACTTCCCGATCGAGGGGCGCGGGTATCATCACGTGCGATCCGCACGCGTGAGCTGGCCTCTCGTGTTGACAGTGGCGTTGCCGGCACTGCTCTGACCCGAGCCGAGGTCAAGCTCCCGGCTCCGGCCGCGTGGGATTCCCCAAGCTGCTGATCGCCGGCTGGCGTTACAGTCTGCAAAGTGGATCACAGGGGCTGATTGCCAGGCTCAGATAATGGGTCGTGTTGGCTGGCCGAGGCCTTGCAGGTGCCAGGCCGAGCATGCATAGCCGTCTGACCTCCGCATGACCCCTTCCCACCCTGCCTGACGGTGTCTGAAACTGTGCACTGACAGAGACGCGCCACTGGCCTCGCATTGCGGAGTTGGATGGGGGCCTTGTCGTGTTTGAATGCGTTCCATTCCACGCAAGGATAAGGCTTTTGAAGTCGTTTCAATTCCATGCAATGCCATGCGCATACTGGCAAATGTCGCAAAAGTTCGGAGAGACGTGCTCCGCCCCACCCTCCGTCCTCCGCCCTGTCACCGTTCCCGGGACATGCTCCGCCCCGCCTCCCGCCCTCGCCACCCTTAGAGGTCACACGAGACTGCGCCGGGGACCAGGGTGGGCCGGCCAGCGGTGCCGGACGCGCTGCTCCCGCCGCCCGTAGAGGCCACAGGGTGATGCAGCAGGAAGGGCGGCAGGCTGCTCCAGGGGGGAGGCTGGTGTAATGAGGCTGGGGGGACGCTCCTCATTCACTGCGGTTGTGACGATGCAGATGTGGCTTGCAGGAGGTCTGCTTTGTGGCGGTGTGCCGCTTTAGTTTTGGGATTGCCGTTAAGGCGTGACGCTGCCGGTCGTGAAAATCAAATTCGCATTGGCTGTGACTCCGCGTCTGACCACCTGGATTTCTTTTCAGATGAGAGAGATGCCATACAGAAGAAGACGTTCACGAAGTGGGTTAACAAGCATTTGAAGAAGGTAAGCCCGCCGGCGTGTGCTGCTGGCTCGCTGTCCGTTTTCTTACGTCACTGGTCACGGCTGGGTCACCGAGGGGTGCTGTGCAGTCTGAATCATGCCTTTCAGGTGTGCTCTTCGTGGATGTGGCCTCCCGGTGGTGGTGGGTCGGATTATTTCATGTGAAAATCTGATCATCTCTTTCATCACCAAGCCCATGTTTTTTTCGTTCCCCAACGGATTTCTCCGTCAGTGCCAAAATCGAACCTACAACAGCTGCGTCATTCCCATAGACGTGCTTACCTGCTGAGAGCAAGTTACACCCTTACCGAAACACGTTAGTCGTCTTCGTCCCGCCGGCCGTCCTCGGAGACTGCCGCGCGCACAAAACGGTAACACCGGCCGTTGGCGCGGGCTGCCGCGTCAAGGTCACCGTCGGCCGGGATCGTCCTCTGTTGACTCTGCGCATTCTCTCGCGCCCATGGCGGCCGGCGCTGACCCGGCGCTGGCGGGAGGCGTCGAGCCGCCGCGGGCCCCAAGCCGTCTGTCGACCGTGTCGGCCGACGAGTTATACTCACGGCGGTCGAGGGCTGGCATTAGCCGGAGTAATATCATCAAACGGCGGGCGCGCAGCAGCGGCGCTGCCGCTAATCACGGGTAATAATACGGCGCCGGCGCCGGCGTGCCGTGACTCCACTCCCGGAGAGGCCGCGGACTGGCGGCTGACGGCTGACGGCTGACGGCTGACGGCTGACGGCTGACGGCTGACGGCTGACGGCTGGCTACTAACGACTGACGACACTGGCTATTGATGACTGGCGACTGGCAACTAATGACTGACTCAGAACTGAATAACGACGGACGATTGGTGATTGGCAGCTGGCGATTGACGACTGACGAATGACAGACTGGCGACTGACGACTGACGACTGCCGACATACTGACTGGCTGGCTGGCTGGCTGGCTGGCTGGCTGGCTGGCTGGCTGGCTGGCTGGCTGGCTGGCTGGCCGGCTGGCTGGCTGGCTGGCTGGCTGGCTGGCTGGCTGGCTGGCTGGCTGGCTGGCTGGCTGGCTGGCTGGCTGGCTGGCTGGCTGGCTGGGGACTGACTGACTGACTGACTGACCAACTAGCCGACTGCCCAGCCAACAGAGCGGCGGATTGCTGGGCCGCCGGACGGCCCGACGAACCGGGGTCACCACTTTTCTCCTGCACTCTCAAAGAGCTGCGGTCTGCGGGCGGCTGAGAGCTGCAGTGGTGCTTATCAGCCAACTGGCCTTGCACGTTCACCTAGTTGGGGGGTAACGTGAAGGGTCATGATCCTCGAGCGTCTAAAAATAGCTGCGCTGGTTATGCTGATTAAATGAGGACGGCGCGGCCAATGCCGTTCGCACGACCTACGAGGCAGGCGTGTTACTAGTTCCCGCTTGGCTCCATGCCAACAGTCGCGACCACGGCCTCTGGCGCTCCGCGAGCCTCCCCAGGAGTGGGTCGAGCCTGCTGGCCGGTCCCGGCCGGCGGCGCCAACGCCGACGCCGGCCGCCAGCCGTCCCGGGTCGTAAATGCGGGTGTGACGGGTCGGCAGACGCCGCGGGCGACCGACACCGCCCGGATGGCGCAAAATCACCCGCACAGTCGAAGCACTCTTTGACATCAGTAATCATCAAGCGGAATGTTAGGCGGCACGGGATGCTCGCTGTCGGGAGACCCTCGGCGCGGTGGCGTTATTCACAAACTCAGCTGGTGAGGCGGCCGTCCCCTCGCTGCGGTTCAATGTCAGAATGACGTCCTCCACGGGTGGTCGGCAGCCGGCCAGTGTCCGCTGAGCGGACAGATGAAACGGGCCGCTGCAGCGCCGTTGACGCGGGCCGGGCCTGGGCGGCGCCGGCCGTCCTGACGCCAGGGGACGGACCAGGAGGCGGGCCGGTCTCACCTGTCCGCCCCGGACGGGCGGGCGCCCGCAGCTCGGCCAAATACGGCCGCCCGCCCCGGTCGCCCCGGTCGTCCCGGCCGCCGACCCGCCCCGGTTAGCGGCCGGGCGGGTGACGACGGCGACCGGCTGACGGCCGGGGCCCGGTCCGGCGGGGCCTAGCCCGCCGACGAGTGGGCCGGCGAGGCCCGGTCTGCCGACGGTGTCGCGTGCCGCGACGACGGCGCCGACTCGCGTGCGAGAACGGGTTCGCCGGGCTGGCGGCGGGACTCGTTGGTACAGGCGGGTGCGCGCAGCGGAGGGCGGGCGGACAGCGGACGTGCTCACCGCTGACGCACCCCCGGTGCGGACAGGAGCTTTGCTCCACATGCCAAACAACAGAAGCGGCTGCCAGCCCAGAGCGGCGCCTGACAGCGGGCTCTGCCGTTCGCCAATGCCGGATAACGGCACTAGCACTGATCCCTCGTGCATCCGTTCGGGATCGCGGGCGCCCGCCACGTCAGCTGAGCTCTGTTTGCGGCCGGCGGCGGCGTCGGGCCGTCCGAGGGCGGTTGTTTGCTGGCGGTGGGTGGTTGGCGCCGGTGAAGGGTTAAGCTCCAGCGATTGGCATGCGCTGACTGGGCGGCGGCCGGCCTTTCTGCCGCTTGGCCCCGCCATTGGTCGACAAAGTCGATGATGAGGCGCCTGCCGTGGCACATGAACATCGCCCGCGTGTTCAGTTTGATTTGCAGCTTTGTAGGAAGACTGCTGTCACCTCCTGGCGGAGGCACCACACTGGGCTCGGAAGCGCGCCCCCCATAGGCAAACGCCGTCCAGGATGAGCTAACGTGGCGGCACGAATGACGAGGTCACAGCTGGCCGTACGAGCTGTACACTGGCGCGCGCATGGCATAGCCGCCTGTGACGTCACAGTGTTCTGCTGCGAGGAACGGGACGGCGCTTGCCAATGAAGACCGGGTCGCTGCCGGCCATGACCATTTATGCTGGTTGGGTGCCGCCCAAGCGCCTCTGGGAGCAGCTATTGGGCCATCCCTCCTGTTCATCTACTGGGCCATTCCTCCTGCTCCTGTTGCTGGTTCGTGCGAGCGCAGTCAGCAGCGCGCCCCCGGCTCAGCACCGCTGTGAGGGACCGAGGGAGCCCCGCCGGCCGCTCAGCCCGGGCCGCTGCCGCGCGCGGCGCGCCCTCGGCTCAGCACCGCTGTGAGGGAGCGAGGGAGCCCCGCCGGCCGCTCAGCCTGGGCCGCTGCCGCGCGCGGCGAGCTCGGCCGCTGCACGGGACGGAGCCGCCGAGGCGTGACCGAGGCTGCCGGCCGTCCGGACGGCTCCGGCTGCGGCGCTGACCGGGCCGCCAGGCGGCGCCGGGCCGTCCGGACGGGGAGGGGCTGACACACGGGACAGGTGCCGCGGTGGCACGTGACCTGCGGCGCGCCGCTCTCAGTGGCCGGGCCTGCAGCGGGGTCGCTGGAAGTGCGGTGCGAAGTCCGGTGGTGGGCTGCACGCCGCCGGCGCGTCCCCCGGTACAGCTGGACCAGCAGGCCCCGGCGGACCGACATGCTCGAAGCTGGTCCACCGGAACATTAATCTTGGTTGCGGTCGGCTGCCGCGCGGTTCACGGCATCCGTGTTTTGACTGCGGCGAGAGTCATACTCAGATGTCTTGAATTCGGGGCGCCTTGTCGTCAGCACCACGAGGTCGTCCTGGTGATGGAATCATGGCTGCAGGGAAGGCCGGGTGGTGCGAGCCCCCTTATTGAGTTCACCCTCATAACTGTGCCGGAATTTAGTGTTGCTTACACCGTTACCGCGTGGCCTCTTGGAAATGCCGCCACAACGTGAGCGCTGCCTCTTTCCAAAGGTGACATAAGCACAAACAGCGCGCATACCTGCTGTTCGCGTCCTCGGGTAATCCGTCATCCCCAGCAACATGTGTCACCTTCCGGCGGTGAGCAGGCGGTGCGGCCGCCTGGAAATCCACCTCTGAGCCGGCCGCTCAGCGTCCGGTGACGTCAGAGGCCGGTGTGGCCCGGGACTGGGCGAGCCGGAGGCGCTCCTGTGGCGGTGACGTTACCCCGGCCCGACCGCGGCGCGGTCAGCGCACGTCTGCTCCCGACGGCGCAGGCTGGCGGAGCGGCTCCGCTGTGGCGGCGGCTGCGGCCAGCGCCGGCGCGGCGCGCGCGACACGCAGCACTGAAAGCGGAGCAAGGAGGCGGCGCAAATTTTGATGTTGTGTTCCGTGTTTGGGGGTCCACGGCCTCGTTACCCCTTCCCCTGTTCTGTCCCGGGCTGCGCGCCGCACGTGCGTCGGCAGCCGTGCGCAGCCGCTCGAGGCGGCGGCGGCCGCCCGATACTGCGCTCCGGTCCTGTTGCATCACGGCGGCGCACGTCCGCCGTGTTTGGGCCGTGACGCTGACGACCAACTGGGTCACGAGCTATCGGGTCACGAGCCATCGCTCCGGGCCAACGAGTAGCCGCGCGCCCGCAGCCCTCTGCTGTTGCAAGCCCGGTGAAATCAGCTGGCGCGCTTATTTGCGCCGGCGCACGATGACTGGCGCGCTTTTCTGTCTGGTAAGCATTTCAACTCCCCGGTTAGTTGTTGGACCCCATCGCTTCCCTTCACATCGTCCCGGACAGAGCGGCCGATGGCCCAGGCCCTCGTGTCGTGATTGTCCTGTCTGATCGGCTGAATGTCGTAGTTATTTATGTTTGTCATGATTCCCATTTGATTACTTTGTGCAGAAGTTCAAGGTGACATATTTTAGGCGCTCAAGTGGCGTTGTACTTGAGGTGATCTATCTTAATAATGCTCGCTTTCTTGTTCCATTTAGGTAACATATAATATGCCAGTACATGTAGCAGGCAGACGTTATCAAAACCACACGGGCAGTTACACATAGTTTGCAGTAGGTCGCCGTACCGCGCCAGCCTGTGGAGGGGGGGGGGGAGGGGCCTGGGAAGAGTGGATGAACCATGGCTAATCGGACCCCTGTTCCGAAGCGTTTGACTACACGGCCACTCGTGTGAACGCTGACGCATGACCCGTGGCTCCATCGGTGCGTATCAGCCCCGTCCCAGCCGCGGCCGTGCGCTATCACCCCTC